TCATGATGTCCAATTCCCAAATTGCCAGAAAAGGAAATCTACTGCCACTCAGCCATGAAATGGTATTCAGCATCCCAACACAACACAAGACCTGTCAGAACTGATGTGGAGTCGTGAGCCATAGTTGGGTGTTTACCCTGTTCTAATATCAGTCACTAGGTGGTAGGAATCACAAACTATTTCTGGCATCAGATTTCTAGAGCAGTTGTCTTTTTTCTTTCTGATTCCAGTCTCCATTAATTATACTTTTGAGTAGTAAATAATCTTGAACCATATTTTTTCTACTCTTATATTTTAAATAAAATTATGAAGTTGACTTGAAGTCTCAGAAAACTGGTGTGGCTCCTTTTAAAATTCTTGCTGGACCCTATTCAATGCAGGTTTTGTTGAGGCTTAAAAAATGTTTATATTAAAAAGAGTAAGAAAAACTGAACTTCACTATGCCTCACTGTGTTTAACACACTATAGAAAATCATGTTAAAGAATGCCTCCAAAACATGTGGACACTGTGAGCTCAGTCTGCTCGCTACATCTCATAGCACTTTTTCTAGGACACAGAACTGTCATTTGCTTTTATAAGATAAACAATATCATAACTCAATCTGGTTAAATTTGAAAGCCAAATTTTTTTTTGCTGCTTGGTCCTCAAAGGATGTATGACAGCAAGCAATAAGAAGACACATTCTTTTTTATTCCTGCTATAACTTTGGCCACATTTTATTATCTTTTTCTTTTTCCCCAGATGCATTGAGCTAGATAACTTCAAGGATACCTTGAAAGCAATTCACCTCAAAAACATTTTATATTCCTTTTCCTGAGCCGTATTTCCACCTTACTCAGTCCTTCAAGGGTACTTCCAAGCAAAATGTAACAAGCTTCAGTCTTAGCGAAGAGTCATGGTTGAGATGGAGAATAAGGTCCACTGAAAAAGAGATATTCCTTCATTGTATTCATTTCACCAAAATTTACATACAAAGCCCTTACATTGAGGCCTTATCACATGCAAATGGGAGTAGAAACACTTTTACTCAACCTCTACTGTTCTAATTTCCCAGAATAAATCCATCATTACCTTAATAAATGAAAATAACTCAGAATACAGATGATATTCACAGGTAAGTAGGCTAATTTCTAGTTTATTCACTGCCACTTTGTCAGTCACATGCTTACCAAGATTCAGTTGTATTTGTTCCAAGTCTAGTTATGTAAGTTGTGCATGTTATTGTAATTATGTAAGTCAAATAAGCATTTTGGAAATCACAGATACATGAGAGTACCAAGAGGAAGAGCATTTGGCAAAAAGTTTGTTTAAGGCTAAAGCCCTAAACTTTATAAGATAGTCACTTAAAACTGCTATGATGTATGTATGAGATAACTGCATAAAAATAATGAAAGCCTTCAAGAATCCTGCCATCAGATGACTTCATACGCTTTTAGGCCACTTGAAATAAGTTTAAAGTTGTATATGATGCAACACAGGCACTATTTATACACTACAGTTTCCTGTGATGCCAAGATAAAAGAAATCATTTTTCCACCAGAATCTTTATAATCGTAAAAAGATGTCACTGCTATATAATAATTGGCAAATATATTCTATATAAGAACACAGAATTAAATATTACATGACAAACATTTAAGGCATATGTTAATTAAATGTTTTTAAAGGGTTTTTTATTCACTCTGTACCAGTCCCAATTGTGTCAGTGTAAATGTTGTCTAGTCTCTTGCAGGGATTGCTTTGGACTCTTGTAAGAAATGATGGAGCTTAAGGGTTAACATTATTTACTAACTGTGTGACCTGGGGCAAATTAGCTTCATCAATAAGAGATGTCCTAGAGATTGTGTAGGTAAAGTGTTTAACACAATGCTTGTAATTTATCTAATAAATGGTAGTTATTAGTATAGTCAAGTATCTCTTAATGACTGAGCCACATTCTGAGAAATATCTTCTTATTTCTCACAATGTATCACACAGGGATATAATCATTGTGTGAACATTGTAGAGTTTACTTACACAAACCTAGATGGTACAGCTTGCTACAGATCTAGGCTATAATATAGCCTATTGCTTCTAGGCTACAGACCTGTACAGGATGTTACTGTACTGAATAATGAAGGCAATTATAACAAAATAAATATTTGTGTATCTAAACATATGACAAGTACAGTAAAATATAATTATCTTATGGGAGCATCATCATATATGCAGTTCAACATTGACTGAAATGTCATTATACAGCATATCACTGTAGTATGAAAACCTAAGAAACACTGAGTGTTTTTGTTTGTTTTTTTTTCTTTTTTTTTTGAGACAGAGGCTCTCTGTATCACCCCGGCTGGAGTGCAGTGGCTCAATCTCGGCTCACTGCAACCTCTGTCTCCTGGGTTCAAGTGATTCTCATGTCTCAGTCTCTCAAGTAACTGGTATTATAGGCAAGTACCACCACATCTAGCTAATTTTTGTATTTTTAGTAGAGACAAGGTTTCACCATGTTGGCCAGGCTGGTCTCAAACTCCTGACCTCAAGTGATCTGTTTGCCTTGCCTCCCAAAGTGCTGGGATTATAGGCATGAACTACACACCCGCCCAGTTTTTTTTTTTTTTTTTAGTCTTTTGCCAAATAATTTATTTCCTAGAGACTTCAGTTTATTCAATAATTATTATCTAAAAAATAATAATTGAATACTTTCTATGGTGGTCATTGTTTTAGATGCTGGTTCTGTAAAGATAAACAAGACAAAAATCCTTGCTTCCGTGGATATGACATTCTAGTAGGAGAAAAAGATAATTAAGATGTAAACAGACTAGTTTAACCTCAGGCACTGATAATTGCTAAGAATAAAAATAAGGCAGAGCAAATGTAAGAAAAATCAGTGACAGGGCTGACAGGAGAGGGCTTGCTATTTTAAGGAGAGTAACCAAGAAAGGCTTCTAGAAAGAACAGTCTGCAATGATTTAAAACTCTAAGGTATGGAAAGAACTGATGTTGGAGAGGTCTAGGCAGAGGACACAGTATGTGCTTGGCATACTTGAGGACCAGCAAGAAAGTCAGGGTTGTGGGAATGGAGTGAGTCTGTTAATTTCTTCAGAGTATGTATCACTGTTTGACACTGACTTATTTATCCATGTGTTCCTTGTCAGTCTTTCCACACTATTCCACTCAAAAATCGGTTCTTTAAGACCAATAACTCCTTGAAATTTTACTGAAGATCCTTCGCTACTGTGTCCAATTTATCCTGCTATCTTCATGAGTCAATTCTCCTTTTGATGACTATCAACCTGTGTATGTGTGTGCACATGAATGTTTGTGGGTTTTCCTTTTGCTGGTCCCAGAAACAGTCCTTAAGGGTTGTAATAACATTTGTATTTGTTTATGAAGAATATTTAGAACAACAGAGGACCTTAGGACATTGTAAATAGACTGGGAAGTACCAGTTTGGGGAGTATGGGACTGAGCACAAGCTCGTCAAAATGAGTTAAGTCAAAGCTATATTACCTTCTCAGAATTCACAATTTCAAAAAAGGTCAATTTAATCATGAATTGAAAATTTGCTAACTCAACTGTGCAGTTTTCATGAGTCATAATTGTACTTCTGGCAACTTTAATCTCTCCAGTTATTATATGTGATACGTGGATTTTGTTTTTTTCCTTTCTGCTAAAAACAGTGTATAAATAACCAAGATGTTTTAAATTGTCACAATTAGCTATGAGGTTGTTATTTTGTGCTTCAAATTGTATGTATTTCTGATATTTACTCATAAAATAGAGAAAATGATGAAAAATTCTTTGTTTATGCTTGTTATAAATAAATTAACCATTATTGTCTTAACTTTCTTCTCCATTAGTGATCCCCAAATATAAAGTTAAAATAGACTACCAAGACTTATATTTAAAATTATAAATAAAATGTAACTGACTCCATTCGGGTAGAGGTACTAACAATAAATTCCTTTCTTTGACCTAACTAAATTAAATTCTGATCTAGCTAGGGGAAAAATACCTATATATATTTTTCAGACGCTTCCTAAAACATAGAGATAACCTAGACTTCTAATTTGATAAGGAGGGACCAGGTACCAAGAAGGCAATCATTATTCAAACATAATTGACATAATTGACAGTTATTTCTCAACTGAATGGCTTTGGGCCAAGAAGAACATAGCTGACATGTGAAAATTCTGGAGGTACTTGTGAATTATAGAAATGTCCAATATGTATTTGTCAAGTTCTTGCAGAAAGTTTAGTGTCAGAATTTTATATTCTTTTCATGTTTATTGTATCATTCAGGGAAAAAAAAAAAGGAACCAAATTATATTAATGTGCTACACTGGTTATTGTTATAAAAATGGCATTAGACAAAAACATTAAATATTCATGAAAATTCTTTTTCCCTTAGGTTCCAGCTAGCAAAAGATACTGAAAGAAATGATTCACCAAAGGAGGGAAATATAACACAGTACAGATAATCATAGGAGTTATAAACAAAGGAAGTTGACATTAATAATTAAATGAGAAAAATTTCCTGTGGTGGTTTTGATGAGCTACAGGCACAGTGTGTAAAATTACTTGACCAACTGATCATCAGTTATGTTCTAGACCAAAGGAGTATATACTAATGTAACTGGTTTTTCTATTCTATTTTTCTAGTCCAATGATTTGTCTAAGGTAATAAATATAGCTATTATACATTCCCTGTGAGGAAAAATTATTCCCATTAGAACCTGCTGTTTTTACTATTTAAGTAAAAACATTGAAGGGGGTATTCAATGTAGATAAATGTGAAAAGGAGAGTTGATCACATTTACTAAGTACTTGTGTTGTGTATTACATGAATTCTAGCAGAAACTGTATTATTGCTCTTTAGTGCGTATTAATCTGACCTTTGCACTAATAGTTATTTATCATGTTATTAGGAGATTTTTGCGTTTGTTTGTATTTGTTTGCTTTTGTTTGTTTATTTTCTCTGTTTAAGAAAATTGTTATCTATTTCAAACAGGGAACTCTTTAATGAAGAAACACCAGAGCTGTTAAACCCATTGAGACACAGAAGATTCTAGTGACCGACGATGGCTTCCTCCTGGAAACTAATGCTGTTTCTGTCAGTCACCATGTGTCTTTCCGGTAAAAGTCCTGACTAATTAATTATTTGATTTTCTAAGTATCAAAATAACCAAAATATATCAAGATCTCCATTACAAAATATCCTCAGGTATTAGTTTAAATTTATAAGGCAACAACTCTTAAGCCTCTGTTAGCATTGCAAAATGCTATATACAACTTAATATAATAAGGTACACTATAAATGTTAATGAGTATTTACCTCATTGACATTCATTTACAGTCTAAACTTTCTAGCTTTCAGAAGACTTGAAGGTATATATATATACACACACACA